TGGTCACATTACTTACACAAATAATATTAAGACGAAAAGTCCGAAGAAAATTTTTTAAACAGTCTAACCGATTTAAATAAAATATCACACCCTCCCAAACTTTTGTATTAAAAATATTAGTGCGTATTTATGTTAGTCTTTTTGATATATTCTGACTTTTATTATACCTAGTCACTTGTAAACAGGAACGTCTTCTTACAGACCATTTAACAACAACAGCTAAACGCTTTTAATTTTATAAAGCTTTATATTCCGAGATTTTGAAGTCTATAAATTTATTATAGCTTGAAGTTATCGCGTTTTTATGACAACAAAAAAAAAACGTTTTATTAAGCATTAGGAATAATTCTTTGTCAATGATTCCAATTTCCAAGAATAGAAATCGTAGTTTTTTTTGTAATTCCGAATTACGTAACGTGTGGAAAAGACTGGAATTGTGTACGCTGTGTTAAATAGTATATATTTTCAGTAGAAAAAACAGCTCTAGATATTAGAATAAAACCTATTTGGTATTCATCGCAGCCTCACTGAATATATTTCCACGTAAACACTGGCATAACAATTCACTAAACTTCACAGGATTAACATAAAAACGAAAACGTGGCGCGGAAATTTAAAATTCAAATTTCGAAAAAGTTCCGCGCGCTTTTCAAAACTAACGACACGTCAAAACAACCACACACGAGCATTTCCATCAAGGCACTGAAAATCTTAACACGTGCGCCATTCGCCAGAAAATAGAGCACCTCAACGCCAAAACGTCCTATATACATAGATGAACCGTCAACGTATTACACACTTTACTACATCCTTATAAAGTTCAAATAATAATTAAGCGTAAATGTACTGTAAGCTTGGACCGAGTGCACTCAAATATTGAATTTAAATTCAATGAATTCAAATTGGAAAGTGTTGTTAATTCAATTTAAGAGCCAAGTTATTTCGCAGTGTTTACGACAGTAACTTCGTTGTTTTCAGGATTAATTTAAGATTCTTATTTCAAAATAGAAACACTTCTTAAACGTAAATATTACGAATATAAAATATTATATAAATTCAATGTAGTGTCTTTATCTCAGTCCGTGCAAATCCAGCTAATTATAAGTTTCAGGCCACCGCAACGCCTATACAAAAATACTGAGCAAACTGTTTACATTACAGTTTAATCTCTTCAGCGTTTTACGGCATAATAAAAATATCAAATGCCAGAGAGTTTGTAAATTATCTTCAGCGAAGTCTGTAATTAAGGACTTCCGGGACAAAATGAGAAACTATCTCGTGTGAAACATACAAGTGTGTTCATGACAATTGACAATTGACAATTGCTTGTTGGGTTCGCGTAAAAAGTTAACGAATGAGTGATTCGTCGCACAAGGCACACAAATAAATTTCGTGTTTTTAACTCTTCGACCACTACTTCTACTACTATGTATTTATATTTGTGTTTTAAAAAGTGTTTTATTTGGTGTGGTACCTCTCTCTACTACAAGCATATTGATTTCATTTACAGTCCAAATTAAAGTATTTTGGTTTGGATAATATTTACAAAGTTATTTCGTACTTCCTTACTAGTCTCATCTGTTTTGTATGTACCTTACTGTGTTACAGAATTGTTGTAATTGTAATAAAAACTGCCCACTACTGTCAATTGTACTTAATATTTTTTTATTAGCGCAAAACATAATTGAAGCGTTGCATTTACTGTCCCTCGATCTGAAGTAACCCACCTGAAATTCCATGAAAAACTAACGCAGTCAAACCGTAGTTGAGATATAACCTATAAAATATTCTTACCAAAATAACTATTTCATTCATGAGGGATTCTGCCAATATTTCTTTTGGAGAGCCGAGTTATATTAAACTTATTTTTTATGTCAGAAATCGACAGACATGCTCGACTTATTACCAGGTAAAAAATCAAGCGTTACAATATGCGACTTTCGATATATTTTTACTACTTTATTTTTCATCCCGTTAGTGATATCTAAGTTGTAGAATTTAAAAAGAAAAACGCCATTTTCACATACTGTTTTTATCAATGATCTTTTTACTAGCAGCTTATCATCTTAGCCACGATTCGAAGCCAACCTTACGCTAATTTATGACGTTACGGTAAATTACAAAGCATCTAAAAATAATCGATTCTCAAATGCGATTTACGTGAAATTTCTGAATCGATTAAAGTTCACAAATCGATACACGGCAGCAAGTTCTGTGCTATTTCTACATTCGAAGGTCATTCATAATAAACAATACGAACAGGTGTTTATCACAGATTAGATTAAGGAGATACGGCAGATATTTTCAGGGTTACTTTTTCAATTTTCCCTTAGCTATAAGTATTCTTTGGTACTCCTAGATTAGGTTAAAAGATAAAGAAGATTGTCGGAGATTTCTGCGACCCCTTGAATTCATTTTTGGCGCAATATTTACTGATAATCAATGTTAACTCAATTTCATACTGAATTATAGCAGTTCTTCTTGTAATAAATAAATTGTTACAAGGTTTTCCTCTATATAAAAGTATTGATCAATCCAACCGAAAGTCTCTTTATGTATGACATCTCACTCTCCTATAGTTCGAGGAACTACAAATAACTAACACTTAATTCAAATAAGATGGATATACCTCAATGACATGTTTTAGAGATCGTTTTATCTGACACCAAAGATTAATAATTAAAATCAGATGCTTAGCGTGCTTTTATTTTTACTATCAAATTCAAATAAAACATATACAATTTCGCAGTCTTAATAATAATGTTTTTGTAATAATTAAAATAAAAAAAACACAAAGTGAAAAGATACATTATATTTATCACTTGAGGTCTTTCAGCAAACGAAAATGAAAAAAATAGGTTTCAGATTTTTCTAGTGTGTATAATGATATTAATTGTGGAGATTCGAAGCAACATTTTTGTGTTAGAAAAATAATTCAAGAAAATCTTTCAATTCGGTAAAAATAAAAATGCCTTTACGTGGACCGTCATTAATTCGCACAACTATTTATATCCAGGACGCCACATAATGTCAGTAGATTTTTCCAGATTCATTCGGACGTAAAGAATAAATTCAAATAAAACGCAAAAATACCTCGCTTTTAAAAACGATCAAATAGTTTAGCAAGTAGTCATATTAAAGTAAAGCGACTTTATAGTCATAATAGATAATCCGAGTGCCAAAATACAAGGTTTTTGCAAACTATTTAATGTCCCGGATCGGCTTGACGCCAACACATTAGTCAAAATGATTGGTGACTTTTGAAAATCGTCCGAATATTTCATATACACTTTTTTAAGATTAGAGTTTCTCGACTCTATTAATGTTTTTATTTATTTATAGCCTAACAATACGTCTTATCTTTAGCAAGTGATCGCCTCCAGGAAACGCAACGCTTATTTAAACAAAACACTAACGGCTTAAAACGCGATATATATTAGTTAAACTTATTTCAGAATTATTATAACTACGGCCCGACGTTTCGGACGCTTTGCAGTAGCCGTGGTCACGGGGAAACTGATTAAAATAACTTTAACTACTATAAATCGCGGTATTAACCATTAAAGTGTTTTATTTTGCTTATTTTTTAAATATTACTACGAGGAAAATATCTAACATTATGTCTACATCATCTGCAGAAACGAGTTGCAAAGTTGTGTGAAAGTTCATTTTCTACTTGCCGGGCGGGTAAAGAAACGAACATTCTTCATTACATCTTAATCGACTTAAGCGTAATAATATTATTAACTTTATGTTTCTCTTGAAATTTTAATTATTAAATAGCATAATTATGAACTCTTAGTTGGCCTATATTATCGTCGTAGATTGCTGAACAGCTAAAAGTAATTTCTTGAAAGCATTCGTTTACGATGAAAACAAGAAAAAAATTCAAAGACTTCTATGTCAAAGACACCCGCCCTTCAACTGGCTTCCTAACGTTTCGTAAGCACATAGTTCTTTGTCTTATCATATCTTTTTAAAAGTTTTTCAAGGTAGTTTTTCGTTTCATATTTTTCAATCAGACGCGTTTGTAATTTTGATTAGTTTTGAATGCATATATAAATATGTGAAAAACTTAGGTTTATATTCTCATATGCGATATTTATGAAAATACTTAAATAGAAACATCTCCTAAATAAAACAAATGCTTTTTTACTCGTCATAAAGGAGACACAATGACGTCATAATTTTTGATCCAAACGAAATGGAGTCGTAATATGGACATTTCGAGTTTATAACGATCGCGTGTCAAGTTACTCGTGAAATGATAAAATTCATTTGTGATAAAATTTTTACTACACTAATAATATATTCTTAAAGCAAAACTATATTAATGGATTAACAACTTATATATCTGGTACTAGCTGTTTCAGCGACTTTGTCCGCGTAGAATAGTAGAGGGTCGCGTCCCGTCGTTCTAGCAAATTAATCTTAAAAGATAGACGTATAGTGTCGTGGACATTTTTTAAGTCATTTAAAGAGAAATCATGCTTTCATACAATTTTCTTAAACCGTTTTCCCGGCGTACACATCTTTACCACTTTTAATTCGAATTGGTAGTAACTTAAGATAAGCGCGTCAAAACAAACAAACCCTTCATCTATATTATATTAGTACAGATTAGTTTACTTAGTCTGTAGTTAAATTCTTTTCTATTTATTATATTAGAGGTTTGGTTAACACCTCAGTCAAGCTTAGTCGCGAACTAAGTCACCGACACGAAGATATATTAAATCAAATAAATAAAGATATAATTGGCTCTCTTGAAGGAGCTTTCTCAATGTCTTTACTTCGTTCGTATAGTTGCATAGCTAAGACATTTATATCGATGGTAATATAATTACTAATAAGTTTCAAGTAGTTTTCGTCAAATATTTTTGTTTATAAATTGTATTTCTTGTCAATCTCATCATTATGTTCCACAACGCACGCGTAAATATAAACGTGTAGAATATAAAAAGTGAAGTTGAACAGAGTGAATAACGTATCTTTCCACTTACTTGATGTGTAGCCGAAGTCGTCTTCTTCTTCTTTGTCCGCTTCCTTCTCTTCTCTACTACGCTTGATGGCACCGGCGGAAGCTCGATCAATCTGGCGATAGTTATCTATATAACTCCTTAATTTTTTATAGATAACATTAAATAAGACTTTGACTATAGTATTTAATATTATCATATGAAATTGTGAATTAAAATTTTGATCTAAAGGCATTTAGTCTCATGATATATATTTTTTTATCAACGGTTACGCATACTGAATTTTCTACATTGCCACAGACAATCATATTCTAAGATTTGATTAAATTTTTATTTGAATAAAACCACATTAACGGTTTAAAATGCGATATATATTAGTTAAAAATATTTGAGAATTATTTTTACTACGGCCCACGTTTCGGATGCTTTGCATCAGCCGTGGTCACGGGGAGATAATCTCAAACAAGTTATCTAATATATATCGCGTTTTAGACAATTAAAGCGTTTTATTTACATTTGTACTACTTGCGTAAACTACATACAGTATTTAATTTTTGTTTTTTAAATCAATGTCAAACTAATAGATCGTTAAAACTACCCATTGTGTAATAGTTAAAATACTATGATTATATTTACCTCAACGCCCTTCTCAGAGTAAGTCCTTCCTTGCAGTTCTCTTTCATCTTCCTCGTCACTACTCTCTTCGGACGAATAAGCAGACTTCGGCTTTTCTTCTGTCTCTTTTTCTTTTTCCTCTTCGTCTTCCTTTATTTCGCCATTCACTTTTGGGGTATCCGAGTCTGATGTTACTGTTATCTGAATAAAAAAGTAACGTAAGTTCACCACTTATTTTGTTAAACCCTTGATTTTGTATTTTTTATCATTTTATAGTAACATATACTATTGTTTATTTACCTTGATATCATGTTTTTGCGGTGGTGCTGGAGCTGGTTTCTTCTTCATGGAAGGTCTAGCTGTCACAGCTCGTGGCGACGAATCAGATGAATCAGTGTTCTGTAAAAAATCCACGTCTAAAATGCTTTACACAAGTAACATTAAAAATAATCATGTTTTATTATACACACCCATGTCATTAAACTTTGCACCGTCAATACAACGATGGAGCCGGCTGCTTTAATAAGTTGAACTGCTCTCTCATGTTGTGCTGTTCTTACGCAGACACCGTCTACTTCCAATATTCTATCGCCAGCCTATTAAAACAGCATTATATAATCTTTATATTTTTATCTTGTGTAAATATTTACTATAAACAAAATATGACCTAAATTTTAACCCTGTGCTATTCTATAATCTGTTATAATCGTTTATCTGTGAAAGCTATTTACCCAATAAAAATCTCAAAAAAACTTCAAAACGATCAGACGCAACTTACGCGCAACTCTCCAGTTTTGCCAGCTACACTGTTAGGAACGACGTTTTTGATGAAGATCCCGAATATTCCTTTATCATTTCCATTTGCGTCATCTCTTCCTGATATTATGTCGACCTATGACAAATATTAAGTAAAATTAAACTTTTAAGATCAGTTTTCCCTTCGTGGGGTAGGATAGTTGATGAAACTTCTAAGCAATGCCCGACTGGAAGTATTATGTGTTCCTGGGATTCGTATGTAGGACTATTTTCGCTTGACGTAATGTGTTTTACCATCGAGCCAATCAATCAAGTTCCTTTACATAAAATCAATGATTGAGACATCAATTTGTATTGAACGTCTACCAAATAAGGATCTCACCACATTTTGTATAAGACAGATGAGTCTAAAAAAATGAACGTGGGGCGTATCTGACATTTTAAGAGGGATCTTGAAATATGCAACTCATCTTTTACGAATATCATCAATCTTATTGTGAAGAAGTGTACATCTAGACAGTATTCAAATTATGTTTATGGTTACGACGGTTCATGGATAAATATAGTTTTATATGTATATGTGAATATTGCATTTATAAGATAGACAATCCTGCTTTACGAAAGTAAGAAATTGCTTTGCTTTGTAACGCGTTAACTGTGAATTCTTATATGGTACAGTAATCATATTAAACAAATAAAATTTAAAAACATTTAACTTTGCTTCACGTGGTTCATATGACAGGAATATGTAGGTATGTCCGTTGCACTAAAATGCCGGAGAAGAAATTTGAACCCAAAACTTCTGTTGTTTTTATAAAGAATAAAAATCCACCATATTTTCTTTATAATTCTCGCTATACCGGATTTCTCTAGTAATTGAATTGGTATGATGAATTAGTAAAATTTTCGAGGAACAAATGTAAATATTGATTAGAAATAAGTTAAATAAACAAGCGACAAAGTGCAAGCGGTGCGAAACATTTGAACAATGCAAAAAATTATAATCATAAACAATTCAGCAATTCCTATAAAAAAAGTTTCATCAAACATGTCTTCTTAAGGCGACTTAAACAAATTACTTATCCATAACGGTATGCTGTATACGGTCAAATGATTACCGTTAACTGAAGTTTATGTCTCCATACCCCATAAATCCGCCCATATCCTAGCCAAGTTTGTTTTTCGGGACGTAAAATATGTCGTAAATAATATGAGCTAACGATGCCAAAATGATTTTTCGATATAAGGCGGTTTCGAAGCGAACGGCCAATTGGATTATCGTGCATACATACCAAAAATAAATGACAATGTATGTATGTCAATTACTAAAATTAAATATCGACTAAGGTACTAACAACTAGGTGACTACATAAAAACGAACTACTACGAAATATTGTCTTGTAATATAGTGTTCTTTAACAGTTCCTACACCTGCCGTCATCCTACAAACCTGAGGCTCTATTCAGTTTTAAGGCGGAAGTTTAAGTCTTTATATGAACAAAATAAAGTGCTCACCTTCCCGCCAACAATGCTGACCCCAAGTGGGACACCAGGGCCTCTCTTCAATGTAACCTTTCGTGGCGGGCCCCAGCGCTGGGCTGACACGCCATCGCGCCGTTCTGGTGAGACCGTCACCGTCATGTTTGGAACAAAGCTAAAAATACAAGTAAAGACAAGGTTAGGGTTTCCACAAATGAAAAGTTGTGGAGTTTAGGTTTCAGTCCCTGGATTTCTGAATAGATCGTCTGTTTAGGCCGCTGGGGTATTTTACTTTCCACATACAACTCAGATAGCCCACGGCAGTGGTATTATACGTTTAACGTTAAAGTGCGTTGCTTAATTGATTTCCTAGTGAAGTAGATCCGAGTGACTAACAAAAAAAAAACACTTTTAATTCCTAAATCAAAACAATGGGTCGTAGTTATTTAGGCATATTATCTCGTCATAGCCATAGTATGGAATATAGATATAATATGTTCTTTCCTTAATTAAATACCTTATGAGATAAAAACTGTATATAACAAGAATCAATTATAAGTACTCTTTATCATACAAGCTTCTAATAAAATTGTTGTATACTAAATTTATTAGGTGGGTTTTAACACACTATATTATTTCCTTTAAGATTTATTCACTTTTATATATGTACATATATATATGCTTGTAACAATTCCTATCAAATAAGACTTCTTTATAAACTCATGAAATAGAATTATTTCGATTGTAACATAATATATGTAGGGACATCGCACGAGGGACCTTTATAATCTGTGCTTAAATTGGGTTCCATTGAAATGTGGAGACAAAAATATCGTACGATCATCGTTATCCATTGTTACGTAAGTGAATGACATTATTCAAATTGAAAACGTAAAACTTATTCAGAGGACTCAGCCAACCTTCCCGTAATACTACAATGGTGTATTTTCGTGGACAAAATTGCTTTATGTTATCTATATTGCAAATAATTAATTGAGAACATGGTATTTGAGATATATATTTTATCGCGTTTTAAACCGTTAAAGTGTGTTGTATAAAAGTGTTGAAAATTACCTCTCCGAACAAGTTCTTATACTATCATTTCAAAACACAAGTGCAAATTGGTACAAAGTTAAACTATACTAAACCCGAGACCAATTAGGGTTTAAAGTTCATAAACAGATGACACTTTTGTCAACGAGTGTACAGGAAGCGACAGTTCAATCACTTAGCACGACACAAATGACTGAGCGCTTCCAACCTACACGTTTTGTTAAATAATTCCTGGCTTTTAACAGAAGTTATTTTTGTTAACTCCAATCATATATAGCCAAAATGTGATATGTTTAGTGATAAATAGTTTTCATGAGAAAATCCATAAATTAACCAGTCAATTTGAGAACCAGCGCTGAGTTTGACAAACACTTGGATTAGCACAACTAAAACTTATACCGAATGCGATTTCTTTTCTATTTATTATCTGTGAATTAACTTCCTTACAAAAAAATACACTTCACCCTGTTTTAAGCATACTAAACTTTTGTGAAATAGAATTTGAATTATTGATGATATGATTGTTGTAAACTGCCGAGAAAAACATTAATTGCCTGTATCTATTTATATAACAATCATTGAACCGCGTCGAAAATTATATATTAATATAGTTGAAACGTTCTTTGTGCACAAGTAAACAGTGCTTAAAATACCCATTCGTTAAAATATTAAATACTCATTACAGCAAAAACTTTAAAGCGAAACATAATAGTGCATTTCAATACGAGAAAATGGAATTTCTGGAATTTTCCACGCTGCTATCATTATAGATTACACATTATTATTTATGTGATTCCATTGTCTTAACAAGATCACCTACATTAATCGTTTTATAGGTAAGTACGTAAGGAATGCGAACAACGCGCATAAAATCTAGTAGAATCCGGGTCGAACCAAAGTCTAATGTTTTATAGGAAATTCAGAAATAAGATTCACAGATTATGCCATTAATAAAAGTCATACTCTTTAAACCTTTTAGCATCTTTAGTTGGTAACTGTTTTTATATTGACTTTAAATAGCTTTTAAAAATGTATATGTAGTGAATATTGTAACTGTAGGTATAGATTTAAAAATAAAATGCTTTGGGGTTTACACAAAAAAAATTGGGATAATAATAACACTTTTTGATATACAAACAAGTAGCAATACAAAAATTACTTTAAAAAATTTAAAAGTGTACATGTACTAAATAAATCGTAAATATATATATATATATATATATATATATATATATATATATAATTATAAATTGCAATTTCAATAAAATTTAACTGTAATTAAAAAACAATAAAAGAAATCCTATCAGAACGTAACAATATAATGATTCCCCGCGAATAATAGCTACTGTGCAAATCCCGGCTTTGCTCAAAATATCATCGCAAATTAATAATTCCTATGAAAGCTGGACGAGGTATTAGCGCGCTCCGCCGAGTGGATAATTTTGCCAGCTCGCTGCTTCTGTGAGTTTGATCTGACAATTCGATGTTTATTCTAGGTACCATTCCTCGATTCATTTATTTTTCGCAAATGACAAGATCGATGGTAATGCAGAACAATTTAATCGATCCAACGATATTTTCATTCGTACTAATTAAAAAAAAGTATCCTTAGTACAGAGATGTAACGAGAAATCGATATCTATGAACAAGTGATTTTTCATTCAGCAAGAGGACTGGGACAAGACCAATTTCACTTTCGGAATCCGTCTATGGACGATGGCTCGTAACCCGGAAGCAATGTCGAACATTCCTCCTCCCCATTTAATTCAATTCCTTTAATCTTTCAAATTTTTTTGTTGCAAATGAACGAATTAATTTATAAAATGAAAAAAAATTGAAACAAATTTCGACTCGGGCGGCCCTTGAACCGGCAAAAGCCACAGCACGGAACGCTGACGATGCCGGCTCAAGTCCTGACCGAGATCGAATGTGTTTCAGAAAATATTTATCGATTTTAATTTAAATCCCTGAACACGATGTGTTCAAAAATATATCATTTAATAAAAAAAATATTGCATACAGTGGAAATCATGACTTATATCTAGCCATATATCGTACCAACAAGTTCACCATAAACAATACCTATAGGAGAATCAGATAAATGCTGGTGAAAAAACTAACTAAATCAATATATCCTATTTCTGACCGAAGAAATCCATAGAATCTTAGATTTTGTTAATAAATCTTCGATAAAAGAATGGCTCTCTAAAATGTAATAGAAACATATAAAAAAGCGCAGCTTCTATCAGATAGTGCGATATTAATGATCAAGGACCTGTCAATTAAACTAATAAGGGCCACTTTCCATTTAAAAACTCCTAGAAACATCAAATAAATTCGGTAAAGAGCAAAGACAACAAACTGTGCGAAGAGTTGAAAAAATCTAAATTCAAGTTATTTTCGAAGCTGTAAAGTCAAACCAGCACTGGAAATGGCTTCGATAAAATATGCTAATCTCGTGTGAGGCGAGATTTGAAATTTTCCCAAACCCAGGGCTGAATGCAAATTCCAGGCGCCAGGTGTAGGTCTTATTACCGACCACGTTAAATATAAACATAAGTAAAAATCAATAGCTAAGCCAGTTAGTAAGGTTTCGTTGTAATGCGATAAAAGTATTTCTATAAAAGATGTAATAGTCCAAGATATGTTGGTTTGTGATGTCTTAAGTGAGTTAATTCATTATTTTTATAGAATTCAAATGCTTCCTGCTCTAACAGATTAAGTTTGTTTTATTATTTAAATATTTGTTTGTTTGTGTATTTTAGATGGGATAGTAAATAGTTTCATAGCCACTTCTTCTACCGCGGGGGCCCAGTTAGGACCAGTGCTTCAACCGCCAATCTACTAGGTGGTAAATCTGAGCAAAGCGTTTTCTCTTATTTCTCAAGTACAGAAAAACATAGTCCATGTAACTATCTATTTATGTGCTTTTGACATAAATTACTCTAGCTTAGAGAATTTACAAAAATAAAGGTTAAGTATTGACGAAATATATAACTGACTTATGAATTTGGCCCTTTATTATTGAGAAAGTAGATTTTGCTCCTAGAATAAAGGCACAAATTACACCAGCTTACTTCGAGTACAAATTTATAAAAGCGATATCTACCATGAAAGTCAACCGACAACATTATTTCCAAATATATAGTTTTCACAAGTAAACGGACCTAAAAGTGATTTTATTCGTGATTATAGTGATCTAACTGAAACAAGTAACTTATTCCCTTAATAATGAATTACTGAAAACAAATTAACAACAAAAAACGAACTCACCGTATTCCTTATCGAATCAATACAACACTACATTCCCGTACATAAATGAAATGAAAATGGTCCTGTTTTTTCAAATATGATGGCAGGACAACGTGAAAGGAGCGCGAGTTGTCAATTCGTAATGGGGCATTGAGGTCGGCTAACCATAATTCAATTATGGGCATTAGCAATTTTCTTTAGTGACGTGCAACGATATCGATAACAATGCATGTTACGCGCCATGGGAAATTCTATTGACTTTTCGAGAACGATAGAAGTTACGTATACCCACAGACTGTACAATTATAATTAGGCTAAGTATTTTATTTTTTGTTTGACATCAATACATCTTGCCCACCGCGGTGTATTTTGATAGCTAGTACATTTAAATTATAGGGATTCTTCGACTTATCTTTCATATTTGGTTATGAGTTTATTGTACAAACATTTTTATTAAAGTTGAGTTAAAGTTTAGAACCAACATGGACGTAGTTTCCTAACATTGTTGGAAGAATTTCGTTCATCATTGCTTAATAACGCTTATACGATCTTTATAACGAATGAAACATACATTTTTTTTACTAACCTTACTAACGCATGGCTGTCGATATTCCTTTACCACCACTAACCAATGTTTTGTGTTTGCATGCATTAAGTGCATCATAATATTCAGTTACGTAAAGATTTTAAAGATAAATGTACAGTGAATTCACATTATCAAAAACGCAAAAGGACATACTAATATTATAAAGGTGAAGAGTTTGTTTGTTTGAAAGCGTTTATCTCAGAAACCACTAATCGATATTAAAAAAATATTTTTGTGTCGTTTGGATAATTTATCGAGAAAGGGTTTAGGCTATAAAACATTAAACTATATTGCGACTAATAGAAGAGTAGCAGAAGAAGGATTTTTCTCTAATTAACCTTAAAAATCGAATAATATTATAATGAAATTTGGACACATAGAAAAACAAACGTTTGACAATGTCAGCCGGTCTTTAATATTTTAGAACTAATTCTGCGAAGTGCCTACTTGTTAGTTTTGTAAGGTTTTCGCCACCTCCTAAGCTATAACACTAAGAAACCTAATTGAAGGGCAAGCCTAAAAACACGTGCCCCTGATTACTACTGTACATTGTACTCTAGATCTCGTATTAATTACCACTAATAGGAGACTAAGTTTAAGAGCAATGTTGCTTCAGCATAAATGGACCAGGGCCAACGGTTTAATAAAAATATACTTCAAAATCGAATTTAGATTGAAAAAAAATTACTTTACGGACAGGAATTGAACCGGCATCCACAGCGGTCTGTGATGTTGCTCTAACTAATTCAGCTACCGTCACAATCGGAGCCCTGTGGATGCCTGATCAAGTCCTGCCCGTGTCGTAAATTTTAATCCATGTGAAATCGATTTTTACTTTGTATAGTGCCATTATGTGTAACAAATATTTTTTCTGAATATCCGAAGCAAAAATAAGTCAAAATCGCATCTTGCTTAGATGTTCTATTCCGACCCAGAGACTTCGTAACTTGCAACTAACAACAAGGCGGTTACTCTACGAGCGAGCTGTCGAAATTATTGTCTACCAGAAAGTGTCGCTAGTAATCTTGACACCATGATTATATTATATTGTTAAGGGATAATCTTCTACAGTTAAAACACATTAGGTTAATTATTTTTATATATAAAATTTATTCGCGTGCAGACTGCGTCTCTTTTAAAAGCAATTTAATAGATTATGCATATCGGTTAGGTTCTTTAATTTGAGTGAGTGGATGGGCCCCCAGAGGTTAGTTTGAACGACATTTCATTTAGTCCAAGTGAGTCAGGGCACAAGGGAAAAATATTTCGATTATTAAGGTAGAGTTTTTAGATAATTATTCACGGGACTTGGTTACACGAGTTTGAGAGTTAGTAGTTTTAAGAGTTACCATTGTTTACTTTTTTTATATATTTCCTAGCTGTGGCAACGACTTCGTCCGCAAGAATCGTCATGTTGGTAGTTCATCCAAATCCGTTTTTGCAAACCCCATCATTTTTATAAACTTAAGCTCTCGTCGTCCTTCAAGTTAATCTTAAAAGGTAGACATATAACATCGCGGACTTTTAGTTAGGTCATTTAAAGAAGAATCATTCTTTCATACATTTTTTTGGGTATAATAAAACCGTTTTTGCAGCGTACGCCTCGGCGATATTATATAGCCTATAACCTATAGCCTTTGTCGATGAATGCTCTTACCATCATTTTTTAATTTAAACCCGTAGTTCTTGAGATTAAAAACAAATCCAAAATTGAAAACATTTATTACTCCAATGCCGGTTTAAGTTTTGCCCCAGTCGAATTTTTTTCTATATAATAGATTTTTTAATTTATAAGAGAACCAATTCTTAATGTTGACGTCAGAAAAAAATACCCAAATTTCTCTTATAAAATGACCTTGAAGACCTTATGACACTTATAGGAAGTTCTAAAGTTAAGCATGAGAAAAAATGTAGGTTTTCCTATCGTCTACAAAACTCACCTAGGTCTTCTAGAAGGCACGAGATATTTCAATGGCCCAGCTGATTTCCTCCGCCCCCTTTCCCCGGGTACCCCTAACAGTCCTCCATTACCCGTATCTGATATCGGACTGTCCAAACTCAGTACTCCTGGAGCTGACATACGCCTGTGAGGCATCGTCTTCGGCGGTTCCAACATATCCCTTATCACCTCACAATATTTACAACAATTCGCCTCCTCAATATACGCTTTAGTTATGGCGTACGCGTAACTCTCTAGGAAACACTTATGACAACCCGCCACGTAGTTCGCTTCAGCGTCTGTCGATTCTTCGCTTGGGTCCCGCTTCTTCAATTGCAGCTTCT